AGTTTGCAGTTCCTTTCCTAAAATGAAACCGGTTACATTTAAGGTGTCATCTGGCCCTCTTTGCATCAAATTTTGAGAATTGGGGTTCAGGGAACAAGTACAGTGGCTGGCTATATGCTGGCTACAGCTTTTGTTTCTGTCCTTTTCTATGACCCAGAAGTCTTATGTCTTCTGCCAGCAACCATGAACATGAGGCAGACTAAGTTGTTAGCTTACAAATAGGGTAAAATCTCAGCCCTTTCCCAGTTCTTGAAAATATATAAAAATACAACTAATTTTTTATAATGACCTTTCACCCTGCAATGTAAACTCACTTATCAGTTCTGGGAGCTTTTATTAGTCTGTTCCTACACAGACAATCATGTTGTCTGTGAATACAGTTTTATTTCTTTGCTTCCAATCTGGATGCTTTTTATTTATATCCTACATAAAACATCCATTAAAATGTTGAACAGACTTGATAAGTGTGGACATCCTTGTTTTTTTCCTGATCTTATGGGGGATGCCAGATATGTGAATTTTACCTTGTCGGGTCAGTATTTTTAGATCCTTATAAATGTTCTTGAGCTTTGTTCTAGGACTGTTACTTGGAAACAATTTGATTGCTTCTGGTCTTACTTTGAAGATTTGTTAGGCAAAACTTGAAAAGTACTCATTCTAGAATAATTACTTCCCACTGGTGAGGCAAGACCCTCTTCAGTGCTCTATGCAGGAGCACCAAGAACAGGTGGCTGGGGAGAGCATGTACTGTTAGCCCTCTGTGAGTACAAGGCACTCTGCCTCTTATTATTGTTGAATAATTGTTTCTCTAGATTGGAGGAGTTTTTTTATACACATGAGCTGATCAATACTGTCTCTGATCCTCACAGGGTCCATCTGCTAATCTCTGGGTGGGCCCTCACTGTGTGCGGCTCTCTCCTCTGCGATACTCTGTCCCGTGCACTGCAGCCACCTTGTTTTCCCTGGACCTCAGCTCTGTCTCTGCAACTAAGAGTCTTCTAAGCTTTGTCTGGATTCCCCTACCTTGTGCCACTGCCTGGAACCTCTGTTGAGCTAGGAAGCTGGAGCAATTTCAGGGCTTACTTCTTTTTGTTTCCTGACTTTCAGAGTTCACTGTCCTTTGTTTCTTGATGCCCCAGTGTCTTGAAAAATCACTCTTTTATATATTTTGACTATTTTTTTATTTCAGAAGGAAAGATAAATCTTATCTTTATTATTATATCTTGATGAAAGCAGAAGTCACCTTTACTATATTCTGATATACTGTACTTTAAAATACCAAAAAGCAAAACTTTTGTGTTAAGAATACAGAATTGGTCACATATATACAGGACAAGTTGTTTATGTGTTTATAATCGATGCAGTGACAACTCCCACTTAATGATTTTGTGTGCATTACATGTGTGCATAAACGATGTATATGCACACATATAATTTTGCCCAAAATTCAAACAAGTATATTAATTACACCAAAATGTGAATTATTCACTATATCTAGTGGCTTTACATTCTTCTTAAAATTTATGAAAGTTCAAATAGATATGTTATGCTTATTTTTATATTACTAAGAAAGAACACAATTATGCTTTATAACTAAATACTCATTTATACATACAGTTGAATCCACATCTTCAAATTCTTATGCAAAATGACAGCAAGGTTACTATCAAAATTGGCAATATGATCACAGAACTCTTATGTTCTTATAACTAATGTACTATATATATTGTCTTTTTACTCAACAATCGTAAAGATAAAATAATTTCAAGGTATACACTTTCATTTTATATAAGTAGTTTGAACCTCAATAGGGGGAATAAAAGACAAGGCTAGTCAAGCATATTTGTAAATTAGAGATTAGAAGAAGAGAAAAACAAAGGATGCTCTCTAAGGAAGAAGGGGAAAGACAAAGAGAAAGAAAAGAAAAGCAAAGGGGCTAAAGAAAAGAGCCAATATAAGAAAAGTGATGTGTAAATCCACTAGCAATGGTCCAAGAGGGCTGGATTAGGCTGAGACTGACTTGTACAGCAGGGCTGCGATTCCAAATGAGGGGCTGAGTTTTCTTTTAGTTGATTCAATATAGCTTTGTTGAGTGTTTACTGTATTCCAGGTTTTCTTTAAGACAACAAACTGTGATCATGGCCTGTTTTTGTACAGCCCATAATCTAAGAATCATTTTTACATTTTCAAACGTTTAAATCCAAAACAAAACAAAACAAAAAAACAAAATTGAGAACATATGGGCTGCAAAGCCTAAACGATTTATTATTTTGTCATTACAGAAACAGTTTGTCAAACCCTGGTTTAAGATATTATGGATGAAACAGTATAAAATTCTAAAAAAAAGAATAACTTGTCTTATGGAGCTGATATTCTAGTGGGGGGTAGAGATAAACAATAAATGTGCAAAAAATATATATTTTGTCAGATGTATGCAGATAATTCAAACAGGGAAGGAGATTTGCTAGCAAAGGAGCATAGGTTGCCTCGTGGCTCACAGAGCTAAATGGGAGTGATAGCTTGGGAAGAGGAAAATAATGTGCTTATCTTGACTTTTTGACATGAAAAAGGCCATAAAGAGATGGTGTTAAGCAGAGACAGCGATTCTGATGGTGACTGTTCTGGTGAGGGTAGGGAAGAGGGTGGTTTCTCATCAGAAGGCCGGGGTGCTGGGGCTCTTACTTCTCTCCTGCCAGTGGCGAGGTGGAGAGTAGGGGGAAAGGTGGCCTTATTGTGAACACCCAGAGCTCTGGCTCTCTCTGCGTAAGCAATGCTTTCTCGAGCAGGAGAGCTGCATGTCCTAGCTGGGCTTTGAGAGCGTTTATCTGAAGATGGTGGTGAGAGTAAACCAGAAGAAGGAGCCACCAGAGCAGGGTCCTTGGAGTGACAAAAATTTCTAAAAGTAGAAATTTCCTGCTGTTGACAATATATCAGAGGGGATCACTGACACGCACAACATTCTAGAAGGTAGGTCTGGGACAAGAGACAAAGTTATTGCTGCTATTAGCACCATAGCATAAGAAAGATCACACTGAGTCAAATCAGCATTCGATGAGACTTCATCTATTAAAATGTTTCTTGAGCACATACTATGCATCTAGCACTGTTTTAGAAACTGAAAATACAGGGATGTGCAAGAAAATATTAGAGAGATCCGTCTCTCATGAAATTTACATTCGAATGCTGTAGGTGATGTCAAATTTTTACAAGAGCTGTGTGCCAGCTGGAAGGTACTACTTAAATAGGGTGGGCAGGTAGTAGACTCTGAGGACATGCCTTTTATGCGAGGGGTTGAAAGATGAAAAGGAACTAGCCATTCCACAAGTGGGGGAGGAGAGGCAAAGTGAGTAAAAGTGAGAAGGCCCCGAGGCAGTAAAGAGCTGTCAGAACACTGATTTGTGACGGTGGCAGTTTCTCCTCAGGCAGTTTTGTCATAGGGCACTATTGATCCTGGGATGTGACAGGGCCTCTTGGGACAACCGTCAAGCCAAAGACTACAGAGGGGTTTATCCTTCCCTTCTTGCTGTCGCTACTGCTCATGGGACCAAAGAAGAGTGCAGGCAAGGAGAATTTGCCTCCGGCTCTCCTGCCCTGAAGATTCACAGCCTTCAGGTGGTATCCTTGCTTTGTCTACGGGGTTCACTGCGTGCCCACAGCACTTGTACTATTACAGATAGAAGGAGGGCAATAATACTAATACTAATCATACTGTCAGTGGCAATAGCTGGCATTTATCGAGGGGTTACATATGCCAAGCACTTCGCATGTAGTAATTAATTTAGTCCTCAAAATAATCCTGAGATGGGGAATAACACAAACCCCATTTTTCAGGTGGGGAAACTGAGGCAAAGAGAATTGAGTAACTTGCCCAGTTCACTCAGCTAGTAGGTGTTCAAAAGTGGCAATATGATCACAAACTCTCATATTCTTATAATTAATATACTATATTGTCTTTTTACTCAACAATCGTAAAGATGAAATAAGTTCCAGGTGTACACTTTCATTTTATAGAAGTAGTTTGAACCTCATTTAAAGTATTATAAGTGTTTCCCAAATCTCATCATTACTCTTATCATTGCTATGAATTCTTCTAGTTCGATCTTGAGAATAATTGCTTTTTTCTGGGTTAAGATGCCTTGTTTCCTGCCCGCAACCTGTTCCTATTTATTTCTAGTCCTTTAAGCTCTTGAGTAGTACGTTCTAACGTATTATTTGTAAACTCTAGGTCTCCTCTGCTTCAACTCAAATACGTGCCCTTCGCTATTCGCTCAGTTCTCCAACTCAACCTATTGTCCCTGTGTTTCCCCCCACAGATTTAAGATTTGTTGTTTTGAATATTAGCAAGTTTTGAGAATGAAATAACAGGCACTTTGACTAAGTTCACTTTACCAAGTAATCTCACTTTTGCATACCAGGCTGTTAGTAATAACTTGTGCAATTAAAATTTGTCACTCAGACAAATAAGGAACAATAAATCTCATGATACTGATACTTTGGTGCATTTTTCTACTCATAAGTTTTGCTTGCCTTTATGAATTATTTCTTAGTTTATTGGAAACTATTTCCATAAGCTAAGTCAAGTCAAGTTTCAGAGATTGTATATGAAAATAAAAAGTGCAAGAGATTTCATTACATAAAAATAGCCAGCAACTCCAAATACTCTCAAACGAACAGGCAAACAAACTCTTAGTCAATGGAAAACAAGCTATTTATATCTTTTATTTTTGGGTGCTTTTAAGCCAAATCTAAAAGTTCTAAGAGAACATAATGTCTCTTAAATTTGATTTGAAAATACTGTATGAGAAAGCATAAATAAAAATATAAAAATTATCTTTATTTTATGTCATTTAAATTTCTATTCAACATATAATTTATTACATAAAATTCATTAGCTACCTAACCTCACTTAATATTTTCCTATTCACCTCTGTGTGTGCTACAAGGCCCTGGACTAAAATGATCAAAATACAACATAGCCAGACAATGGAAAACATGCTTACCTTTAAAGAAGACAAAATTCCCATCACTGTTTTCATAAACTGCATCGATACTAGGAGGCAAGCCCCGCCAGAAGTAAGTAATTTGCATGGGGTAGCCATCCATCACCCTGTTGTTTCTCACTCGCCAAAACCACTGGTCCTGCAAAACAAGCAAAAGCATCTCTCAACAAACATGTAGGCCTCCGCAGCATTTCACAGTGCAAGGGCTGGATGCTGTTAAAGCCAAGCCAGTCTTGTTATCATTGTCTTACATCAAACCAGTCAGAGAAAGCTAAACAATGTTGCTGCGATGATTACAAACGTTTTTGGAGTTCCCCAATTTCTAAGCTATAGAGTGTGATTAAAAACATAATGTCAACGTACTTAATCTTGTCATTTTAATGTTATCTTCAGGGCTTTCTAGATAGAGGTAGCACAGACAAGCCCTGCTCCATTTGTGTATGTAAGTCAGCTTCCTGAATATGAGAGTGCTATGGCCACGCATGCGTCCTAGCACTTCTAGACATGGGCAAGATCTCCACATCTACAATGCTGAAGATGAAATAGGGAGGCCATGCCCCCAGTATGCCCACATTACACTTACTGTCCTGTGTAATTATTAGTAGAACACTCTTTAACCATCAAATGCATCTTGGTTTGGTTGATAAATGATACAGTCATCCTAAATGAACAAACTTATCCTGAAAATAAAATCACTACAGTGGATTCCAGGCCGAATTGCCTTTCTTATCTGCTCTTGTAACACCTTGTACTTTACATAATCATAGCACAGGTCACTTTACATTGAAAGTGTCTATTTATTCTTACTTCTAGTGAATAACACATAGCTTGGCCCATAGTAGGTGTTTATAAAGTTATTGAATTAATAATTAACCTACACACAATATGTTTTACCATAAATACTAATGGCAAAAATACAAAAATGAAAACAAAAAACATCGAAAAAGGCATATCTGATGACACTATGACATTTTCTGTTGAAAATTTCATAATAAATTATACTATTCAAAGTGCTTTAGTATTAAAAAAACTAGGCATATTTTAAAAATTGGTTTCCAATACAATTAAAATTTTATTTGAAATTTCTGTACATGCAAACAGTATGTCACTTGGAAGTTAAATATTTCTACTCTTTAGACAAGTATGTACCACAAAAATGTCAGTTTTAATTCTTCTCTGCTTTCTTTCTTGCTCTCTTCCTCCAAATCTGATATTAATAACTGGGCTTTCTCGTGCTTCCTCAGGCTTTTGGCTGAGAATAAGTTAGGCTGACTGATTTCCTAAGATTTATCAGTTATTCATATATTCATACACATAAACACACACACACACAATATCTACTGAGGATTCTTGGATATGATAAAAATGAACCTTTTCCCAAACTATAATAAATCAAGCCAAATATTAAAGTTTTCTTAGGGGCTTTTGAATGGTTGCCCTTTGTTCTAATTATCATGGATTGTCTTCTCTACCAACTTCTGCTGTTTATAAATAAAAAGAGTAGCTTAATTAATGGCTCTGAGTTCATACCTATTCTTGCTCTGTCACCTAACAACTGTGTCACCTTAGTCAAGATACTAGTCACTGAGTTATTACAAACTAATACCTAATTCACAGCATGATTACTATATTAAAATATAAAGAACTTTCTGAGGACCTGGCACATATTAGCGTCCAAACTTTTGGTTGTTATTTTTGTAAAAATTATATCAAAACTGGTTATCAGCACTCTGGGAGGCCGAGGCGGGCGGATTGTTTGAGCTCAGGAGTTTGAAACCAGCCTGAGCAAGAGCGAGACTCCGTCTCTACCAAAAATAGAAAGAAATTAATTGGACAGCTAAAAATATATAGAAAAAATTAGCCGGGCATGGTGGCGCATGCCTGTAGTCCCAGCTACTCGGGAGGCTGAGGCAGGAGGATTGCTTGAGCCCAGGAGTTTGAGGTTGCTGTGAGCTAGGCTGATGCCACGGCACTCTAGCCCGGGCAACAGAGTGACACTCTGTCTCAAAAAAAAAAAAAAAAACTGGTTATCATATTTTCCTGTTTATACTTCTAGTTTACAATTTTGTCTCTTGTCTATTGCTTCCTCTTCAAATTTCATGTATATTGTGACTCTAGCCATGCATCTCTTTCTCAGCAAGATCTTATGTTATTAACCTTTTTTGATAATTTTCATGGTACCAGCTAGCCTGAATTAATAACTGTTTTGATCTGTATGCAGCAGATAAATTAAACTGATTTTAAAATACAAAGTTATTTCATGTAAGGATGGATCCAGGGAAATATATATGGACATGAAGATCAGAGAGGTGTATTGCTAATAGCATATAAGCAAGTGAGATTCTAATCATTCAAAAAACCCAGCATTTTTGTCTAGCTATAATGGGGGCTTTTAACTGGGTGTTAAAACCATGCCAAACCTCTAAATAAAATGTTCGTAAAATATTGTAACGTATACACCAAAATAATAAGTAAAAATCGCTAAACACCTACTGGATTCTGATAAAGAAATAAGTGAACATGATTACATATGGAACAATGAAACAGAAAGCTCTGTAAACTGAAGAATAGGAAAAAATCAGGTGAAAAATCCTGGACTATATTCCAATTTTTCTAAGAGAAGCACTTTGCAACTTCGCATTGCTATAATCTCACCACATATTGAGATAGGGCCAATGGGTCTTTGAGACAGATACATGCTGCAATCTGAAGATAGCAGTACAACCTCAACTTGCCACTAGTAAGGGAAGACATGAAAGTTCTGCCTCAAGATAAGCATAGTCAATTTGCAAAAACTCAGAAGGTAATGCAAAATCATGGACAAATTGGACAATTTCTTGTTGACAGTAGCCTTGGCAGAGAATCATGGAAATTATAGATATTCAGGTTGTGCCTCTGTTGAACTTATCCACAATTTCTCAGTTTAGCAGAAAGCAATGGTACAAATAATTTAGAAAGCATTCTATCACAGAGGATGTAAACTCATAATGCAGTCACTATAGATTGCCATTTCAGAAATGGGGCTTGTGAATAATTCATAGAGAAAGGACATTCAGAATGATGTTTAAGTCTCTGCAGATTTTTCTTAAAAGTGAGACCTTCTCTGATCACCCCCTCCAAAATTGAAGCTCCTTACTCCACCCATATGAGTCTGCTTGCTCTCATAGCCTCTCTTTCCTGATATATTTTTTTCATTGCATTTACCATTGTTTTACATAATACTTGTTTTACTAATTTTTTGTTCATTCCTTCTCCACTGGAATATAAACTCCACAATGGCAAGAATGTCTGTCTTTTGTTCACATATGGTTCTTGATTTCCAGAAAAGTGTCTTGTACATAGTAAACACTCAACAAATATTTCTTTAAAGAAAACAAAATTTAAGCACAAAAGAGCAAAGTAAAAGTAAATGATCCTTTTAGAAGCTAAAGCTTTAAAATTAAATCGCAAGAGTTTTCTTTTTTTTTTCCTCTGTGGCCAAGATGTTTCCCTACATAAAAAAATATAAAAGCTGCACAGGGGTTACAAGAATATAAAAATTCTATTTGAATAGGCAGATGATTAGCACATATTCTGTTTTCTAGAAGAGCATGATATTTAAAGGTCTTTGAACCACAGAGGAAAAACACATTTGTTTTTACCTCTCTAAACAATGTAGGTTTTGTTTTGGCTTTAGATAAGAAGAAAAAGAAAGATGAATAACCTCTACTGAGCTCTAAATATGCTGTCTGAATATTGCCTTTAGGCTCTTTTTTTTTTCTACAGCCCTTATAAAAGTAGGTGAAAGGAAAAAGACTATACTAATAATAATCATAACTAGCACATCTGCAAAGTTAACTTATAAAACAAATAGTCCCTAAGAATTACCAAATTAGAATTCTTACTTAAATACCAATATTTCACTTAAGATAGATGCACATTTATGGTCTTACATATAGATTTATCTTTCCATGTAGCATGGAACCCAGATGGAACATTCGTTCACAAAGATAAGTCCACGTGATGTATACCATGAAGCAGTAATATACAGAAGAAATTCAGTTTGCTTTTATTCTATTTTCTTTAAAATTCTGGCTTATAACAGACATACTGTTTACTGAGAACTATACAGGAAAGGTCTGCTGTCTGAATATGAAATGATATTATTGATTTACTACCAATAGAGGTTGCTAATTTCAGGACTCTTAAAAAACTAATTAGTAGAACTGATCTACTTTCACTGCTTTTCTGAAATACAAATTCATTTGTTTAACCAACAATTTGATGTAAATCTTACAAATGTCTCCCGTGCTCAAACTGAACATTTCTAGAAGTCACCAGTTGTTCCTCAAGCCCTCCCCTGACCAATCACCTTGACCTTCCTCTAGTCTTCCCCATTTCTGAAATAGCACCTCAAGTCTATTTCTTGCCATCCTCACTCTCACTGTCTTAGTCTAAGCACTCACTGACATGACTGCAATGCCAACGCAAAGCCTCTGATTTTCCTCCTACTGCATCCAGCATCAAAGTCAAACCCGGGCCCCCAGCTCCTACAGGTCTCTGAGCAGTTTCTCTGGTGCTCACGGTGTTCTAGTTACAGAGGCTTCCTTTCAGCTGCTGGACAGAGCAAAGGGCTCTTCTTCCTCACGACACCTCACAGGCAGGTGGTTTACTGTACAGTAGGACCCTCTTATCTGTGGTTTTGTTACCACAGTTTCAATTACTTGTGGTCAGCCATGATTGAAAAACAAGTGAGTACAATATAGTAAGATATTTTAAGAGTGAGAGTGAGAGAGAGTGAGAGAGAGCACATTCATAAAACTTTTATTACAGCACATTGTTATAATTGTTCTATTTTATTATTGCTCATCTTTTAGGGTGCCTAATTTATAAATTAAACTTTATCATATGTACGTATGTATAGGAAAAAACATAGTGTATCCAGGGTTTAGTAATATCTGCAGTTTCAGGCATCCACTGGGGGTTTTGGAACGTATCCCCCACAGATGGGGGACTGCCGTACTTTGAATATTCTTCTCCTTTCCCACAATCTGAACCACAGATCATCCATTAGTTCTCGGCTGAAATATTATTTCCATAAAAAGGCCTTATCTGCTCCCTGACTGAAATTAGGTTACACTGTGCTATGGTCTAAATGTT